CCAGAAAAAAATATTTTCTTATAGAATGTGGCAGGAGAACATACGCACTCCCTTGCATTTCTATAGAAAACTTGTATCAGGAGGGCAAAATAGGTGCATTTCACTTATCCAGATCCAAAAGATAAATCCCTATCAGGAAAACATAAACAGTGAGGAGGTGTTTAGCAAGCAATTTTATACGTTTGTTCCTAGACGTCTAATCGAAAAAGTACGAATCGTTCTGGATGCTACGCACCAAAATTAATAAGAAAAAGTTTTTTCCGAGAAATTTTGGTGCAGTCGATTTTTGGTAAAAAAGGAAGGTAATAACTGCCTTTTTTTTGCACAGAAAAAAAATTGTCTCAGATCGACCGGAAAAAAATATTTTCTTATAAAATGTGGCCTGTAGAATCCATAATTTCAAACAGTTCCAAGTTCGGACTACTAGATCAAAAGTTACAGCCCTTTGAATTTTTTGTCGAAATTGGTTTTCTGCCCAGAAATATACCTATTATTCAAAGTTTTCGTTGACTAATTAAAGCAAAAGCAATAAAGGGGCCTGTCAGCATTAAGAAATAAAATACCGTTCTAATCTAATCTTTTTCGCCTGTACAATAATAAATAGATAAATGACTACCAGCATCAGCAACCTGCAACCCAATTTCTATTTCTTACCCCCCCCCCCTTCTAGTACGCACTGGGTGACTGTATGTGCCACGAACTTGTTTAATCCCCCCCCCCCCCAGAATAAATTACTACGTACGCCACTGCGGCAGGCTGTTAGGTGGCACCGCTCCCCTACTCTACAACTCCCGGAACATTGCCTCTCTCTACATCCCCAGATAACCGGTTCTCTTCAAATCATCTATCCATTTTCTTTTGCTTCTTCCTCGCTTTTCTCCACCTGCCGTCTCCGCCGATCCCTTCAATATACGTTCCTCAACATTCCATTACCCCACAACACGTGACCCACCCAGTTTCTATTTCTAATATATTGCTTAACAGTTGTCTTTCTTCTCCTGCTCTTCTTAATACTTTCAGATTTCTAACCTTATCACTCCATTTTACTTTAAACAGCCTCCACATCTCGATTGCTTCCAGTCTTTCTAATTCTCCACCTTCCACTCTCTTTCTCTTATACGCTGTCTGGGCCATTCCAATTCTTATCATTATCTCTTTTTCATTCGACCAATTGTCAGATATTGCTGTGCCTAAATATTTACTTGTTTTTACTTGTTCCAATTTCTCCCCTGCCCCTTACATCCACTACTTCCTCTTCTCCCACTTTCATTACCTACCTCTTGTGGTTAATAGGGTAGATGACAAATTTTTTAAAACCGGTTATAACTGTTCGTATACCTCCACTGTAACTTTAAAATATGATATTACAGCAAAATAAACCATATTATTGCAAATTTATGCAATTTGAATTGTAGGTTTTTATTTTAGCGCCAAAACGCTGTGACATGGCGGTGTCTGTGACGTCACAGTCCTGACAGTTATAAACACAACCCCAGCGTAAATAGTTTAATGATTTCGTGATGAATTGTAACTACTATAAGTGGTGCCCTACCATGATGGATACATAGACATGTGGCGCAGCTAAGTATCCCAGGCGGGTGATTGCTATGACTCCATGGATAAAGTCTGATCCGTGCTACCCGATTCCAGTAAATCCTGTTCAAAGGATGCTGTATCACTGAAATGCTTCATAGAGTATAGAGGAATCCAAAAGGATTCTTGACGATTGCTCATTAAACGTAATATAGAAAACTATATTGACATGAGTAGCACATTTTTCACGTACGTTAACTCCTGACGTGTGCGGTAGACGGCATTTTGAACAACTTTCGATTCCGATTCGGCCATTTGCCGATACAGGAGTAGAGTTTCGAATAATCCGACTCGATCATGGCTTGTTACACGTGATAAAGGAGACTTTATCGACACTAGTACTCTGGGTTGTGGAAAGCGTTAGGGGCTGACCACTCCAGTCCATTTAATAGGGTTTGGACTCTTAGGGGTTGTAACAGTAGCTTGATGGTAGAGCCAAGAGAATAATTTGTGCGTATTATTTTCCTTGGAAATTTTTCATGGTTCTACTGGACCAGCAATTGAATTCCGAAGGGATATACGTGTTAGCTGCATTTCGCAATTATGAAGACTACTACTACTGCTGGAAGTACATTAAATTAGACACCAAATAAATTGTTTATATCCGTACCCAAAAAAGAAGCCATACGGAAAAAGTGGCTACAACTTGCATGTCGAGACCCAGCGTATTCAATAAAAACAACACTATTTTTGTGAGGACCACTTTGATGTAAGCTTTATTTTGTATTCACAAGAACCCCCATATGGGATGGCAAGTTGGGGTCGGTTTCTTCGTCGAAAACTAAAGAAACTGCATGCAGCTTTGCGTGAACCTTATGTTCTGGGCAAATTTTGACTTAACTGTGCATAAGTTGTAATCACGCTTAAGAGTCTTCTGTACGACTGCACCCAATGTAAATTTCCATAAGAGCGCCCGCCATAAAAACTCAAGTTGTTTTTCCAAAAAAAAATTTACTACTTTATAAATTTAGACCTTTATCTACAAAACGTTAGTAATGTAAAAAAGTTGCGCTTACGTAGAGACCTAGCTTACTGAATCATCTTCATATGATAGCTTCGATGATCTAAAAACAAAGCATCTGTATACATTTCTCTTAAGTAACTACATTTCTTGCAAAAAATCTAAGTTTAACTTAAAAACCTACAAAACTTGTATGGCAGTTTTACTATTTCTAAATTCTAATGAGGAAAAATCTTTGTTGGGTGCGAGAAATATTTCCAACATCATTACATCAATTTTTGGCAGATTTGCTGCTATCAGCTCTTGTATACTTTCCATTCTTATCTGGTTTAAAAAACTAAACTTTAGGATAATATAATCACTATAAAATTGAACAAGCACTAAATTAAAAGACGTAGACAAACGCTATAAACGCACAGAGGATCGCTGCTTGAACCGCCAATTAGGATAATGACGTCACGCGCTCTGATTGGCGTTTGATATCACATGACAAATGTCGTTATTTTTTAATTTTATTTTTACTAAAATATAATAATTTCTTGTGTACATTACCAAATAAAGTTATTTTGCGATACCCTGGCACCTTACTCTATCTTATGAAACAGAAATTTGTTTATTCTTTTTCCACTGACATGTACCCTATTCTCAATCTTCTTCCAGTCGTTTCAACATTTCATTCAATTCCCGCGTGTTTTCGGCAAATATGATCATATCATCAGCAAATCTGACTAACCTTTCATTTCTGTCACCTATTTTCACTTGTATATTCCTTTGCAAGCATTTCCCAACCATATCCCCCATATAGATATTTCACACAATCGAATGCCTTCTTCCTAATTCTATATATCTTTGTCAAATTGTTTTTACTACTGAGATTGCATCTCTTTTCGCTACTTTTTCTTTTGCCCCAAAATGCTTACTCCATTCTTCCCTTTAATATCTCTGAAAAAACGTCTGTATGTACCTAGGGAGTGCCACCCATACGATACAGATACAGATATCTCCGCTATAGTAACAGATCATTACGTCTTCTTGCATCAGTACACTTCCCTCTCCCCTTACTAAAATAATACCCAATCCATTTCGTTTCAGTTCCCTTTCATTTTCAAATTTTCTAACTTTTCTGCTCATATTAGGAATCTAAAGTTCGATATCCCCATTCTCAGTATGTTTTTAGCACCTTTTGTAGAGTTCCCCGAATATACTGTCGGATTCTAGGAAAATACCACTAGGATCTCAATGGGGTAGTTCCCCGTTGCTTGCCCCATCTTGATGCCGTTTAACTCCTCCGCCATTTTACAACCCACGGACAACAGCGTGCCCCGCCCTCTACCCGCTTATTCGCCCCCCGAAGGGACCGTCTTCTTATTCCGAAAGTCCGGTATCCTAGTCAGTGAAAACAGGTTGTACCACCTGAAAGTAAGGTTTGGGCCTTTGACTGGGAGAGGCTGTGTAAAGTGCATCGATAAAAAAGTGCTCGAATTAATGCCGAAATTCCTCTTGCTCCGTTTTTCCCGCTGGTGAGTGTACTTTCCATAGTCTAACTACAGAACGAACAGAATTTATGTATACTCCAGAATTTACTGCATCCACAGCACCTATACCTAAAGTATCTTCATGGTCTATAAGAGCTGTGATAGGTCTAAGTCTAAGCGGTGTATGAGATCATAGGGATCTGAATATGAAACTTTTATCATAAATGCAGCAAAAATAATGGAATGGAAACATTTTAAACTTGAAGTTTGAGTATAGCCGTTGAGTGAATCCTTTATCCTTCACTCAACGGTACAGCACATAATAAGAACGACGTTTGAGAGAACAATGCAAATGCAAAAAAAGAACTTAATACAGAAAGGCTTGTATTACATTTGAGATGTTTTATAAGATTGTCATAAAACAATGAAACACTTTCGGTTTGTCTGTGTGTCGCTGCTGCAGAGGTCCCTAGCCTAAGTAGTTATTTGTTAATGATGAAAATTACCGAGCATGGGTTGGATGGCACACGAAAGTGCAAGCCAACCAACACTGTAGGAGGTAAACTTTAATTAGGTATTAAGCACAAGTAAGGTAGTGCCTGTACATCAAACATCAAGCTTTTGCGTTCATTCGTTTGAAAATTGCAATATGAAAAATTCTTCCATTTACAAAGGGGAACATTGTTCACTCGACGATATTTAAAAGTGGGAAAATGCTAAAGTTCGGATTTTTATTCGACTGAAAATTTTATGCTTTACGGCGTCCCTATCAGAGAACATTGGATATATTGAAATTTATACATTTATGTAAGACGCTTACAATCGTCTCCTTTGGCGCCATTCAGCAATGAATAAATATTTTCCCTTCATGCTCAATTACAGTTTCCCCCTTTCACGAGCGGTAAACGTTTTAAATACTTTTCACGAAACTTTCAAAGTATAAAACCTAATAAGTTTCTTTTTATTTGCAGATCTTTTAATAGAAATGCTGGGAGTGCTCGCTAGTTATAGCATTACCGTGAAAGAATTGAAGCTTTTGTTTGGTGCCATGAAAGCTGCGAATGGGAAATGGGTATGTTTTAAATACGGTTATTAAAGAAAATTAGCACTTTTCAATGTAATCTTTGATTGTGATTTACTTGAAATTCTTCATACGTAGATGCAACTTTCTGCAATCACTTTGTTCTAAATGGAAACAGTTCATTATAGAGAATACCTAAATGTAGACTTATGTAACTTTATTTTTCAGCCACGTCACTCCGCAAAACTCCTTAACGTTCTAAGGCAAATGCCCCAAAGGAATGGACCTGACGTATTTTTTAGTTTTCCTGGCAGAAAAGGCTCTGTAAGTACTTGTACGATTAATATCTGCACCGCCATTAATTTCTTTCATTTCAGGCTGTTGTTTTACCTCCGTTAGCTAAGTGGCCTTATGAAAACGGTTTCACTTTTACCACATGGTTTCGATTAGATCCGATTAATTCAGTTAACATCGAAAGAGAAAAGCCTTATTTATATTGGTAAGTTATTTCAAAATTATCACCTTTTCGTATTGTGCATGTCATGGGCTTTTATGATTCTCTCCTCTTTATATGTATTTGTTTGTGACGTTTCTGTTTCAACGGAAATTGCTGTTTTTAATCTTATACATATATATTTTTCATCTATCGTTATTATTTTCTGTTTAACATCAGTTTCATTGTTAAAACTCTCCGTCCATTCTTCCTTTTGAGTTTTCCATTTGCACTGCTCTCTGAAGCTTTTGATAGTTTGTAAAGAAAAGTGTAACGATTTCCTATTATTTTACAGTTTTAAAACCAGCAAAGGTGTTGGATATTCTGCTCATTTCGTTGGAAATTGCTTAGTATTAACATCAATGAAAATTAAAGGGAAGGGCTTCCAGCATTGTGTAAAATACGAATTTCAGCCCAGAAAGGTAAGTACGTTAGCTGACCACAGTTTGCGCCTAACATTTTTCTATTCCTCAGTGGTATATGATTGCAATAGTTTACATTTATAATCGATGGACAAAAAGTGAAATCAAATGTCTTGTGAATGGTCAATTAGCGTCAAGCACGGAGATGGCGTGGCTCGTTTCAACAAATGACGTAATTTCCTTTGGATAGCTTGACCAAAGTTCCTAATTATTCCGTTTCAGCCGTTTGACAAATGTTATATTGGGGCAACACCTGAGCTAGACGAGGAGCGCGTTTTTTGTGGTCAAATGTCCGCTATATATTTATTTAGTGAAGCTCTTACTACACACCAGATATGTGCCATGCATAGGTTAGGACCCGGTTATAAAGTAAGTCGAAATGTCTCACCGTGTCCACTTTCCAATTATAAATCTCGCTTGCAGAGTCAATTTAGGTTTGATAACGAATGTCACTTGAACCTTCCTGATAATCACAAAAGGGTGAGTGATTCTGAGCAATCAAGTAGCATGTCGCAACCTGACTCCGAACCATCCGTAAGCATGACTTATTTTATTTTTTATTTTAGCTTTATTATTACAAATGGTTTTAATTTTGACATTTTTTTTTAATTTTATATGGTGTAAAAATTGTAAGTATTGTTTTTAATTTATGCCAAAGTTAGTATTGACGTATTAATTTCTTCATAAATGAAGTATAAATAAATTAAACAGTAAAATAATTAAAACTTCATGAGTGAAGGTTACAAAGTAGGCATACAGGAAGTGTCATTTTGGATTGTCTTATTTTGTGTATTTATGAAGAAAAAGTTAACAATATGTTTGGGTTGCAATTGGCCCCAATAAATATTGGTTTTTAGTTCTGGGATACATCTAAATGGGCATTGATTGCGATCTCCCTGTATAATTTGAGTTAATGCATTAGATTCTTAAGCGTTAGGTATTTTTATTTGGCAATTGAGTATGATGTAAAAGTATTTTTTGCTGTAGTAATGATAATTTTGCAAAAAGCTTGCTTTCCTAAACTCCGCTTTGCAGATATTATTTAGAAGTATTTCTGAATGTATACATCAATACTTATACATTCTGTGCAAACTCTACTAGAACAATTAGGTACTTACGTACTATACTATTGGAGATTGGTACAACTGTCTTTAGGCTTTCTGTTTCGAGGGCAAACCATCGACTTCCTACACTGTACACAAACAGTTTAAGGTTATAAATATTACTGTGTACCTTGGCCCGTGGCCAATAAGAACCATACACAAAAAATAACCCTCTAACTTTGGGCCAAGTACAAACACTTTTCAAACCTAACTAACTCTTTAATGAATTTTTTCTCAGTACACATCCGCACCCTATCACAACAAAATAATTCAATTCATACTTTAAATTCCTGATTTTAAGCAAACAATGGTCAAACTCACACTCCTCAAATTCCAAGCAGGTCATTTACCAAATTTTGGAAGCACTTTAACTGAACTTTGGGCGCGGATAAACAAAATTAAATGCAATTGAACATGAGACATCTCTCCCCGTCATTAAAGGGATCGAATAAACATCCGACTTGTATGATATTACAATAACAAAATTTATTCAACGACTACAAATGAAATTAAAACATGAAATCTTAATTAACAAACTTGGACCACAGCGTCCGAATAAACAAACATCAAAAAGGTCAAAAAGCCTTAATCTTACTTACCATGTTTCGAGTGACAATATCCCAATACGATCCGTACACACCTCTAATTACTACCGGAAACAATACCCCCAAACGAACGTGACGCACAAAAAACTTGGTCTTCTCAATTCCAATTCCCCAAACATGTTGTGCAGACGTAGACTGCAGCATTCGGCTGCACACAGAAACACACCACCGACGAAAAACTCCTTCTATAAAACGGTCAGCAACCGACCCAGAACTTGGCAAAAAACTTCCTTTTCTTACAGCGGAACAGCACATAGGCTTCGAATAATGGCAAAAGCTGCTTCTAAACGCGTAGGTATCTACTCCAGTATTTAAAAGGATGCATCGCGCCATTTTAGGCCCGTTCAAAGCTTCTTTCACGGACATTTCCGAAAGATATGCACTTGTTCCACTTCGTGATTATCTCTATCCTATCCATGGTACCGTTTTCGAGGTCCTCCCCTTGATCCAGCCTTGGTTTTCTTTGGTCGGACAGGACCTCGGCGTAGAGTTCATTTTCCGAAACCGCCCCTGCAAAGGATGCCGTCTTCATTGGACCGCAGACGTCCGTGTTCACCAACTCCAAGATCTTAGCCAGACGCTCTGATTTGTCGGAGAACGGAGAATTCGAAACCGTTATCATGTACACAGACGGACGGACGGACAGAAAGAACAAAATTCGTTTTTTGTCGCTCGTTACTAAGCATGTTCTACACACTACCTTAACCAAGCTTTTCTCAAGATCCACCTCGTCATAGATTTCAAAGTACCTATAACGTAGAGTGGTGGTTCAGGTTTTATTACTAACATTGACTACTTTTATCATATACCTTTCTGTGGAGTACAGTGTGGTCGGAAGTGATGAGTAGAGTTACTGAAATTTCGAATTTTAAGTACCTACCTACTGACTGAGTGACATAGGTATCTACCAAACATGTTTCAATAAAACTGCTTTGTTCATTTGTTGGAAGTTAATTGTCCCAAAGTTGAATTGACTCGATGTTTGAACCAACTCAACACAGTATATGACTCATTAGTTGCGTACGATCAATTAACTGAAATATATCCTCAACTGAGATTTGAATTCAGTGTATGAAGCGGTTTAGGAATAGAATACGTAATATTTTAAGACTGACGGTTAAATTCTAATTTCTAGGTTTTATATGACGGGAAGCTATCAAGTGCAATAGTATTCATGTATAATCCGGTTGCCACAGATAGCCAGCTTTGCCTGCAGTCTGCGCCAAAGGGAAACATTTCTTACTTCGTCCACACTCCACATGCTCTCATGCTACAAGTAAGTTCATTTACGCCAATTTAAGATGTGGACATTTGTTTTCAGGATGTGAAAGCTGTGATAACACATTCCATCCATAGTACGTTAAATTCTATTGGAGGTATTCAGGTTTTGTTTCCGTTATTTTCTCAATTGGATATGCCTTATGAATGTAATGGAGCGTCAGATTCTAAACGTGATCCCACTTTATGGTAAATTGTCAAAATGTTTAAGTTTAGAATGTAACTCACGTTTCTGTTGTAGCTCAAAATTGTTAGGCTTCATATGCGAATTAGTCGAATCGTCGCAAACAGTGCAGCAACACATGATCCAAAATCGTGGATTTCTAGTCATCAGTTTCATGTTACAAAGATCATCGCGAGAGCATTTGTCGGTAGAAGTTCTCGGCTCATTTCTCAATCTTACAAAATACTTAGTCACTTGCCTCACGGCAAATAGTGAGCTACTCTTAAAACAGGTAAGTGGGTTACATGATTGAATAGATGATTTCCTTGTCTCATAAGGTTTGTGTATGTTAATAATTGTATAAGCCCTTAAGCAGCTTTTTAAATTGTGTAAAGACCAGTACTTATCCGTGCATGTTGCGTTTATTTTTGCTAAAGCTTCTTAATCGTTATATTTACCTAACAATAAATGTGACATGGGTAAGTACCGGGAGCAGGTAAATCCATCTTGATTTAGTTGTTTTGCTTCTCGTTCCTCACATGGCAGCTACTGGATCATGTACTCTTCAACCCGGCATTGTGGATTTACACTCCGTCGCCCGTTCAATCCCGATTGTACTCTTACCTGGCCACCGAATTTCTGTCTGACACGCAAATCTACTCCAACGTGCGAAGGGTCTCGACCGTCTTGCAAACTGTACATACGCTAAAATACTACTACTGGGTCGTCAATCCTAGAGCGAAAAGCGGAATAATGCCGAAGGGATTGGGTAAGTTGAAGTGAGTCTTCGAATTGAGTGTAATGAACTGTTTTAGATGGTCCTCGGCCTGCTCAGAAAGATATATTGGCAATTCGTGCCTATATTTTACTCTTTTTAAAACAGCTAATAATGGTTGGAAATGGCGTGAAAGATGATGAACTTCAAAGTATTCTTAATTTCTTAACAACTATCCATGAGGTAAGTAAATTTAGTTGTTTTTCTTTGCTCTCATCTACAAGCACTATATCATCCGCAAAGATCATGGTCCAAGGCGTCTGTTTTCACACTTCCTCCATCAGGACATCCATTATGATATTAAATATGGGCTGAGCGCAGATTCTTGATGTACTCCCAACTCCCACAGGAATCCTATCTCTAATTTCAACACTTGATCTTACCCTCGTATGCGCTTTATCATATACATATATTCTTCACCAGCAGCACGTATTTTCTGGCACTCCCCTAATCCTCATACACATCCACATTTTATCCCTACGCACCGGCCCGCGCGTGCGCAGTGGAGTGGAAACTCGACTGCGGTACTGAGGGTCCCCTGGTTCGAATCTGGGTTTAGGGATGGATGTTTGTATATATACCTATAGTGGGATGGGTTGGTAAAATAAAAAATAGTTGCATGCCTCCACAAGCCAACTGCTGATGCAAGTCTTAAGCAGGGCATTTTTACCACTTACATAATGCGATTAAATTTCTCACATGGAGACCAGAAATGTATACTAAAGGCAAATTTGGTCCATTTTCTTTAAGATGAAAACCCGAAGAATAAGCTTGTGATTATAAGTATTATAATTGTTTAAATTCTATAGTAACGATTAGTAGTGTTAATAATATATTTCTATTTTACAGGATGAAAATTTGCACGACGTCTTACAAATGCTAATTTCCTTGATGTCGGAACACCCCTCCTCCATGGTTCCCGCGTTCGATTGCAAACACGGAGTAAGATCGATATTTAAACTTCTAGCATCCGAAAGTCAATTAATTCGCCTGCAAGCGCTAAAGCTTCTTGGATTTTTTCTTAGCCGAAGCACCCACAAACGAAAGTTCGACGTAATGAGCCCGTTTAATTTGTACACGCTTTTAGCCGAACGTTTGTTACTTAACGAGGATATTTTATCTTTACCCACTTATAATGTTTTATATGAAATTATGACAGAGCACATTAGCCAGCAAATTTTATACACACGACACCCCGAACCGGAATCGCACTTTAGGCTTGAAAATCCAAGTGAGTATTTGGTATACCCGTCGAACTTACTCATCGAGTTTTTTTAGTGATACTCAAAGTGGTCGCTACACTTGTACGACAATCGAAACAAACTGAGCAACTATTGGAGGTAAAGAAGCTGTTTCTGTCAGACATGACGTTGCTCTGTAATAACAATCGGGAGAATCGTCGTACCGTGCTGCAAATGTCAGTCTGGCAAGAGTGGTTGATAGCGATGGCTTACATTCATCCGAAGAACACCGAAGAACAGAAAATATCGGATATGGTTTACTCACTGTTTAGAATGCTGCTACACCACGCAATCAAGTACGAGTATGGTGGATGGAGAGTATGGGTCGATACTTTAGCTATTGTGCATTCCAAGGTAATAGGAAATACTGCAACTTTTGTGGTTGATGACGTAACGAAAACACCAATAAACCACTATTTACTTTTTAACCTGTAGAGTGTCGAGATTTTATCTGCTCACCAGCAATCTTTTGGGCTATCTCTACTTAACAGTTTCTGTGTAGGTACCCGAGTGCAGTTGTAATAGGTTACATGTTTAATGTATGAGAAGGATAATGAATAATTCAACATATTTCTTTCCAGGAGATGGCCTTTTTGGGCTACATCCACTACTCTGTAGCCCGCGTGATTTTTAGCGAGGGCTTTGATCCTCGAAAGTGTGCTTGAAGCAGAAATTTCAAGATCCCCTTTGCGGTGTCTCTGTATAACCCTTCTCAATTTTCTTCTAGGAACTGATTGTACCCTCTATTCCTTTGTGCAAAAAATAGTACTATGGTCAGATAGCAAAGACTCTTCTGACACATGCCATTTGTGTACTGAGCTGTCGGCAATTACAGTTCCAAACATTAGTTATCCTTCATCAATTATTGACGCAGGCTGCCTCATTGCCCACACTAGCATTATATTATTGCTAATGTAATCTAGGAGAGATGTACCTCTCCTGTTGATGTCGGTGCTGCCCCACACAGTGTGGTGCGCATTGGTACCACATCCAAGGAGTTACCACCCTTTCCGCTGAAAGTGTTCCACCACTTTGCTTCTATGCTTGGTGGTGGACAAGGTTGATATCATATAAGAGAGATTGATATGCGGATCCAAGCACAAACCCCCTCTCACTCCCATCCCTTTCCACTGTCAGCATTACTGTCACCAGGTCTCTGCATGTGCAACCTCCCATAGTGGTAGTAACTTTTTCTATTTCTAGCTAAGATGCTTCATTTTGGTTGACTCGGTAATGAGCCGCGCTTCGTTCAATCCCAGATCAGACCAGATTATTTTCTGAAAGAAAATAGTAAAACCTGACTTACCAACTGAAGTGTGGTGGTTGGCACAGTTGGTTGTGGTTTCCTTGAGGGCCCCTCAACTGCTGTCGCCTCCATCCTTATCCATTATCACCTTCTTACACTCCACCAATCAAAGTTTGTCCCTTGGGGTCTTCCTTACTGTTTACCACACGTCAATTGCTGGTTTAAACTCCAGCATTTTAGATTTCGATCTTTTTCAGGATTTTCTCCAATTCTCCTTGATCCACGGGAATCCAGACGTGTGCCCTTATTGGTTTTGGGGGGTTTTTCTCAGGAGAGTTTTGTAGGCTCTCCACCAGTGCTCCGAGAGTGGTTGGTTGTTGTTTCTGGTTCATATAAGTCTCACGAGTATGGAAAAAAGAAATGCCGACATGCGCGGGGCCCTCTGCACACGTGTAAGACTTAATACAACGGAGTGGCGCCCAGTGAGGCCTGGGATGGTGGTTATTTTCTGAAGTTGTCTCATCTCGATCCAGGCGGCTAAGCCAAGAAGACCCCCGCACCATCCTGAGCCAACCAGGCATGCTATGTCAACATGGTTGACGCATGTGAACACATATCAACGCTGTTTAACCCCATGCAAGCCCTTGGCCACGAAACGGCCGAGCGGGGTAGCTGATCCGCGATGCGGTCTTTGGTTGCGCCAGTCACTGTTCAAAAAACGGTTTACAAAAACTCTTAGGTAACCCAAAAGACTAAGTGGGGATGAAAGATAAATCTGGAATATACAAAATATTCCGAATCTTGTTATGTGATGACAGCATTGCTGTCGGGCCGCGTACGTTTTATTACATTTTTATTGTGGTTTCTTGGTATTTTTGTTTCAATTCTTGTTGACAGCTTTCGGACATTTTGTAATGAGCTTATTCCTTCCTGTCGTAGGTTTCTTACGAAGAATTTAAACTGCAATTTGCTCAAATGTACGAACACTATGAACGTCAGCGTACCGATAATATCACAGATCCGGCAGTACGTCAACAGCGTCCGATCAGTACTATTTCCGGTTGGGATCAACAAACGCAAGCCGCGGTGCAAAACGGTTACCACTCGCCCGAGGAGCAGTGGCATCGTACACCGGCAACCGTTCGAGAAATCGACAACGAGAAATCGGAACCAGTATGTAACTGTGAGCTTAACTCGCCGGTTTCAGAGGGCAGTCCTGCGTCCTTCATTACCAAAAGGGACGACAGCGAGGGTGTCTCGTTAGATTCGCGAACCAGCGACTTGTACAGCGACGTTAAAATCGGGAAGGAGTCGCCGTTCTCTCAGGATTCCCCATTAAAATCCCAAATCGTCGAAGATGTGACCGAGCTAGGCGAGGTAATCGAAGATTCGCCCATTTGTAACGGAATCCACAGTGGAAGTAGTCCCAGTCTCGATAGTCCCTACAAAGATGTTCTCGATAATAATTTAACTGAGAGCCTAAAGACTGAATTCATCGAAAATATTGTAGAGGAAATTATAAGCAAGTCAGAGAAGTTATTACTGGAAAGCAGTACTGTGGAAATTGTTGATAACAAGTGCGAGGAGGAAGCTGCCGATGTAAATATTAAAAGTGAAAGTGACATTGACAATGAAATAATTGAAGTGGTAGCTAATGAAGAAAAAAGCGAAGTCGTGTCGCCGATTGAAGGTAGTCCCCAGAAAACTGTGGAAGGTTTGGACAGTTCGACTAGTCCGGAACGAGAAATTTTAGACAGCGATGTTTCGGATCGTTACCTCACACCAACGGAGTTGAGCGAAGCTACCGAAAGGAAAGATGAGGCGCAAGTTGTTGTGGAAGAAGTTTTAGTGCGGGAGCATTTGGAAAATGAAACCGAAACCGTAACGGACAGCGTCGTGGAAACTGGAGACGAACTTCCCCGCGATACCGCGTTAAGCTCTACAGATGGGGGTGATGAACAGTCTAAAGAAAGTGATAGTACGGTGGAAGCAACAGACGATAGTAAAAACTCGGAGGCGTTATTTCAAACTGTGCCAATTGAAGATAAAACAAGTGCTGTGCAAGTAGATTTAGAACCGTCCAATGTTGTATCTAGTGTAGATAATTCGAACATTCCTAAGGCAACTGATGACGTTGTCATTGTAGAAAACATTCCGACAATTTCGCAAATCTGTGATCCAACTAATTTTGTACCAAGTGAATCTGTCGAAAATAGTTCTGTACTTAATAACAATAATAATAATAACAGTGAGTCAATAACGGATGTCGCATCCAGTAGAGGGCCGGAAGATGTTAAACGTCGAGTTAGTTTACCTTCTAATACGTTAGAAAGACAGGAAAAATCGGAAGATTCTGTTGCTAATCAATCATCACCTCAAAAACGACCCCGAAGTGCTTCTACATCTACTCAGGTTGATTTAAATCATTTTAGTAAGTATCACATGACTTCATACTTTGCTAAGTTTATCTGTTTACGTCTGCTGGATCTATCGAACCATCAAAGGAAAGAATTATAGGAGAAAGTAAAGTGTAATTACGGCGCATTTTTGTATTCTAAATAATGGTACCACATTTTCACAATAAAATGTGCCTAAATGTGTAATTAGATCGTTTTCTTTCAGTAAAAGAATTACAATAAAATTTTCATTTACAGCGGAAAATAAAGGTCCCAAGACGGCGCCGCCATCTGCACGTCCCATGTTTAGTCCCGGACCGACGAGACCCCCATTCCGTATTCCAGAATTTAAGTGGTCTTACATACACCAAAGACTGTTATCTGATGTTTTATTCTCATTAGAAACGGACATTCAGGTGTGGCGGAGCCATTCGACGAAATCCGTCCTGGATTTCGTTAACAGTAGCGAGAACGCCATTTTCGTTGTAAACACGGTTCATCTAATCTCGCAGTTGGCAGATAATCTTATAATAGCGTGCGGTGGCCTTTTACCTTTGCTTGCGTCTGCGACCTCGCCAAATGTAAGTGACAAAGTAGAAGTATGTACAATTTCTTTTGTGATTGTTTTAGAGCGAATTGGATGTAATCGAACCAACGCAAGGTATGCCAATTGAGATTGCGGTATCCTTTCTTCAACGTTTAGTTAACATGGCCGACGTTCTCATTTTTGCCAGTTCACTAAATTTTGGAGAGCTAGAAGCCGAGAAGAACATGTCCAGCGGAGGAATACTCAGACAGTGTTTAAGACTGGTAAGCGACGCCTTTTTTTCACTTATTTAATGTGTTTTTTTTTGTGAATGTCTCATATGTCTTATTGAAGCTAAAGGATGGTGTACATAAAATTTTCTTGCTTTACGATATCTACTATATTTAGTAGTGTTAGGTACAATAGCATGCTGTCTATACATAGAGCAGAGTGAGTGATGTACCTGTAAACAATTCCATAGTGCTCCGTCGTCACTTTTTCACATTGTTTCAATGTGACATTGTTGCGTATTTGGTATGGATGAAGGAGGAATCTTAACTGGTTAAATAAAAGAAGAGGGAAATGTCCCCCACACTATTCTAGTCTAAGTCAGTTGTTTTAAATATTTGTTTACTAATTTATTAGGTACCTATATCTTCTCATTTTGAAAATCTTTACAGCTGGATCACTCACTCAGCATATATAAATCTTAGAAAGATGAGGTAGTTTACTTATTTTAAAATAGTTTCTTAGTTACTCACCAATGTCTAGATTAGGGCTAGATACAGTAGATTACTGGTCTTTGTTTGGTATTATTGTATTTTAGGATAGTGTATTACTCAAAAAGAAACGTTAACCTGCTCTTTAAAGAAGGTAACCAACCGTTGATCTGATATCCTTACTTTTACTGTAGATTAAGAACGCTAAAAGGGTTTTTTACTCTGTTACATCACTCTAAGGAAACATCAGAACTACTAAAAGATGGTCACATTATAAAGTATAGCGTGGGTTTTTTGGTACTTGACAAGAGGAGGGTTTCCAAGATATGATACAACGCCGCAAAGACATAACATCTTTCAATGTTTTAATTGTGAAGCAAATTGTGATCGCACCACCACTGCTCCAAATTATTGCCACTCATTTATAAAAGGAACTGCGAAAACTGACTTTACAAGAAAGAAGAAAATAACACTTAAAAGGGTTGTTAGCAAAGCTGGAGCACTGAGTTATACACTGTGTCCAGGATTATTATTATTATAGTGCCAGGGGTGGTTCCCAGTCGGTTCCTGCACTGCGACCTTTTAGTCTATTATGCTCTCCGGTATTGTCTACCCTTCAAGAATACCTGTATCTTTATCAAAGTTCAGAATTTTGATGTCTAATTTTTTCATTTCCAAGTAGGTGTGCCCTTGCCTTTGTGTATACTTCACATTGCCAAATGACGTGGTGTGGTGTTTCTTCTTCCTCACCACAACTCCTGCATAACAGGCTCTCCATCAGTGCCATTTTGTGCACGCGTTTGTTCAAACGACGGTGGCCCGTGACCATTTCTGTCGCTTGTTTTACCTTCATCCTACTTTCTAATGGACGATGCTAATTCCCCGTTTGCGGTTTCCAGAAAGATCTTGGAATAGTTCTGCCCTGGAATTTTCTACCAATGCCTGTAGTGGTCTTTCATGACTTTTGCCTGAATCTTCTTTTGGGCTGTGTTATAATTATGTAATCCCATAGGTTGGTTCAGGTCCTATGAATGAAAGAACAGTTTTGTAAGATGAACTGTTTTGGCTATCCTCTCAGTTATCATACTGAGGATTTTATCTTTATAGATTTCATCAAAGGTGAGGGAATGCCCCACCCTTGACTATCCCTCCTCGCCATTGACTCTCAGCCGGTATGCCCCTCTGAGTGCCTCTATCTTGATTACCAGGTGTTGTGACTGTATGTCAGGGTCGTCATTATTGCCCCTGTAATTCCAAGGCAAGCTTTATGTTGCACCTTGCCAAGTATCTGACGTTCTTATTTCACCACACCAGCCATTTTAGTGTATATCCAGTTGGTCATTTTTGGAGAGAGACCCCCACTTGCCCCGAACACTGGCCTGTAGGCCAGATGTGATTTGAAAGTGAGTCCAAGTATTGGCAGATTCTTCTCTCACTACCTGTAGCTTGGGTTGCCGTACATTGCAATGACCTTGAGCTTTGTCTGCCCCTTTTTCTACGTGAAGCCCTCTTCTTCGCAGCATGTCTCCACTAGATTTAAAGCTCCCTGTATCACAACTGATAGATACGGTCTCCTCGAATCTTCCACGTACCACCTCCCCGCCTCACTTTAATCTCCTCGGCAGTCCATATACCACCAAACACCACAGGAACGGCATAGAGTAAATAATATAAAGAGGTTCCATGCTGTATAAATTTGTGGCAGTGAGAGACTATCCCTGAACATAGATGGCGAAAAGCAAATGCCGACGCTCCCTCTGAATTCAAGAATAGTGTACTAAATTATTACTAACACTGCTTGTTAATGTTGTTATGTCAGCTCGCTGTGCGTTAATAAGTGGAGAAAGGAGTGGGCGACACGCAACCATGAAATGTATACTTTTATTTATCAGCAACATTTTGCTACTCACATAACATTATTATGAATGTGCTGCTTATTCTGCCATTGACGAAAGATGGTCTTTACCTTGACCTACCACAATTTGTCATTTAATAATAAACTTTTGCATCGTTTGATGATGCCCATTATAGAACATTATCTCAGCTATATTTGCATCGCAAGACGGCATAGCGTTTTAAATGACATCACTGATTTACGTAAAAGTAATTCAATCTTCGTAAAGTAGGAAGTAGTTCAGCGAAGAGAGAATTTTCCTGATTTTTCTGTGCAGAACTGCCGACTGCCCAGTGCCGAATCAGTTCTGATGTAGTATTTTTTGAATGCGTTTCTAGTAACTTTTGATTGAGAAGTCTGATCGAAAAAGTACGAATTGTTTTGGATTGTCCGCCCCAAAATTACTAAGAAAAAGTGTTTTCCCGAGAAATTTTGGTGCAGTCGATTTTTGGAAAAAAGGAATGTTATACACTGCCTTTTTTTGAGGCGCGAAAAAAAAATTGTCTCAGATCGACCCGGAAAAAAAATTTCTTATAGAATGTGGCCTGTAGAATCCATAATTTCAAACAGTTCCAAGATTGGGCTACTATTTCAAAAGTTACAGCCCTTTGAATTTTCTTTCGAAATTGGTTTCTAGTCTAGTAACTTTTGATTGAGAAGTCTGATCGAAAAAGTACGAATTGTTTTGGATTGTCCGCCCCAAAATTACTAAGAAAAAGTGTTTTCCCGAGAAATTTTGGTGCAGTCGATTTTTGGAAAAAAGGAATGTTATACACTGCCTTTTTTTTTGCCCCGAAAAAAAATATCATCGTATATAATATACATCTATATATACAATGGTATACAATGGTAGTATGGATGGAATTGATCTTTTCTCTCACAAATACACTATACTTACAGCACTCCCACATTAGTGAATTGCGCAAAAGGACCTTGTTTGCGTAAATTCCACACTAAATTGCTAAAGCAGTGTTAAAACGGTCTACGTGTACCGCTAACAAAAACGTTAGAAATTATACGCATAATCAGTTATATTTTCTCACTGTACCTATTTAATTTTGATTGCTAGCTAAATTCAAATAAAGTTTGTAATTGGGTAAGGGTAAGGCGTTAAAATAATAAAATAAATAGGTCTATGGCCTGAAAGAATTAAAAGACTCCTTGCATAGGAAGCATAATATCACATTCCTGTGATTAAATATAATGCTGACAGTATCATGGTCTGTGGCTGGTGCAAAGTAATGACGTAATTCAAATCTCAACTTTGTTGTCAGTATATTTAAATAGGTAATACAGGTTACATGCTGCTATATGGTAATACAGCGATACAACAGCTTTGAAGAACACTCACAAGATAGCAACACTTTCTTACAAGATTTTCTACAGCAACAATATCCTATCCCATGACACCTCTTTATATTATTTTACTCTATGGGAACGGATAGAGAACTACCCTTTGCGAACATCCACATGCAGCCCGAGCCACTACTGACTTGTTGTTAAGCCAGCCTGTGATATTTTTTTGTGTTAGCATGGTGTGTATCCATGTACACACGGAAGAATATATTTCCTTCCTTTCTATAGCAGTTTTAATCGATTCTAGATTACAGATTGATTCTCTGCTAAACAATTTCAAGCATAAAGTATTAGGCTATAAACAGATCTACAAAAGACGATCTTATTTTACACATAAAATCAACATAAGTATTATGTACAGTAGAAAGTGTCAACGACTAATTATCCGAACTATAGCGCTAGGGAGTTTATTGTGTAGCAAAAGTGTCGCCTTAGATTTAACAAATCATGTATAGATTCATCGCTATTTGTAACACGTTAAATAAGTACTTGCAAGAAATTGTCACAAAAAAATTAGCTTCGATAATTTAAATAATATGAAGCATACTGTATATTAAGGTATGTATGCTGCATTGTACAGTGTGCGTGTGTTAGGTATGCACTTGTGCAGTCCGCAACTGTTTGGAGTGTAAAGAAAGAAGCCGACCGCACTCTACACTTGCACCACCACCTCTAAACACTAGTCATAAGGCAGCACACTTGCAATCTTTCATCCGTGGAGGCCAAGGTTCCCCAAAGGTATGTATAAGCTTATGCATCATTGCATTCGTCATTTGCATGTCACTTTAGTCATGTGTAAATAATTTATGTAAATATATCAACAAAATTTAGTTGCCAGAATTTTCAGTCGACACCACTTCATTTTCTTATAACTGAAAAATCTGCAATCTTTTAAATAAGGGTACTTTCTCTAGTAGTTATAGTTGATTTGCAACATTTTCTTAATAACCTGCTGAAGTGGTTTGTGACCAGAGCTTTATCCCACCTGCAGATCACCTGCATACAATATTGAACAAAGTCTTATCTACTCATAGTCTTGCAAACAAAGACTACTCTGCAATTTGCTTCCATTCATACCCACTTTGATGTTGGAGCACATTCCATCTAGTATTTACTTCTGAAAAGATACAAGTGGTTTATGTTTAAAAACTATCATTGTTACACAATAACTGAGAAGACCATGTCACTCTTCTTGTCCTTCCAGTTGAAAACGTGTTGGTATGGCTTTCACTTCTTCGGCATTGTCAAAATATGAAACCAGAGAATGATCTCTAAGTTGAATTTGAAGTGCAGATATCCCAAAACTAAGGCTTAAATCTTAATGAAATGCGCAATCGCATTTGGCTTGAGTACTCACTCTAAAATTAAGCAAATCATAGCGCAGTTGGTCTTCTTCTTCTTCCTTCTGCAAGCACATAAACTGAATATTATTTTACCGACATTATCTACATTTGAATTATACTGGAATGGATGCTTCAACTAACTTTTCAATCACTCGAACTAACCCCTAGCTTAATGTAACAATTTTAACATTTTACAAACGTACTCTGTTTACTTTAGAATATCGCCGAAAATCTATCGAGCCAATCGAGTCCAGTTAAAGATCCGGAGAAATTGTTGCAAGATATGGACGTCAATAGGCTACGCGCAGTGATTTATAGAGACGTGGTGAGAACATTTATTCAGGCATTTATTTTAATTATTTAAACTCAATTTATGTTAACACCTTTTATTGCAGGAGGAGACGAAGCAAGCTCAGTTCCTTTCACTAGCTATTGTGTATTTTATTTCGGTGCTAATGGTGTCAAAGTATCGAGATATTCTCGAGCCGCCTGTATCGATACGCGCGCCCAGTCCACCGCCGACTATACGAAGTAACGGAACTTCGCATCATTCTGGCAGCCCTCAAGGTACGCATATATCAGTTGGTTTTGGTGGTTTTGTGTTGTCAATTTTTGGAATCACCAAGCGCAAATGTTCCCGACAACCAAGTTAGAACATGATTCGTGTCTGCGTTAGTAGTTATAATCATATTCATTACAATCACAGCAGCCAGTCACGTTCACGCTTATAAGTTTGCACTTATCAGGATTCATTCATTGTGATGCATAAACTGAAGTAATTAGAAAGGTCAGTCGAGACTAAATACGAAATATTAATCAAGAAAAATCCGACTTTGCTCTGCATGTGAATAACTTGTGTTGTATGCACGCAAGTACAGTTTGCCTATAATCCTAACGCAAAGGTTTCTAGGCAAACTTATCTAGAAGAATGTTAGCTGTGATTGTCCCATTTAATTACTTCGTTAGTCGCAAAAATTTTGCTGCGTACCATTGTATAAATACATGTTGTACTTGTGAGTAAATTCACGAGCGATATGAAGTAGGTAATATTTCACAAATTGTTGTTCTTCATATCTCTCTATAAATGGTTCTTTAACGGTCCACTAACAGCTAACTTATATTTATGTGGGACAGAGGGCAGTGCGAGACCTCTATTTCCGCAGTGGTCACATCACGTTTACCCCCAATTTCTACCCGGCTCCCATCCCAATGCTGTGACGCATCACAATTACGTACGTCACAGGCACTCCTATGTCAAGCACCATTACAATCACAACAATAATCACCACTCCCACCACTACAACCACAAAGTTGACCACCGGTACCATAGAAACTCCATTGCCAGTCATACAGGTAATCGGCAATGCCTTTAAGTTTGTGTTTCACTGCATCAAGCTGATATGGCTTAGTTTATATTTCTTTATATTCTAGTGAACAATGCACGACTTTCTTTTTGTTGATACACATTATTTTTTCCTCGCTTTGATTATGCAACCAGTAGAGTTCTACCAATTGTCGAATCTTTGCTACAGTAAATTCGTGGTGCACGTCACTAATTGTATGAGGATGCAAGTGTTATAGGTACGTTATGAAACATCTCGTGTTTGTTTTGCTAATGAAAAATGTAACACTGTTTATCGACTATTAGCTGTAATTATAATAGCCACAGTCTGTTTCATAGATTCATTCACTGTTCTACCAAATAAATTTAATAACATAATTTTTAGTTTCTAAAGCAATTTATGAATTTCAGACTGGGTGATGGTGAGATCTTACAAATGCAAGGTATTCAAATCCACCCAGTATACTATAGTGGATTTCAATTTGCCTAATCCCACTTGACTAACAACGATCGTTAACTTATAATTTCATCATTTTCAGTGTAGATTTTTGTAGTGAATCAGTAATGCTTGAACGTAATTAAATAATACTTTTTCTAACATGTGCAGTGCTTCAGTATTTAATGTTTATTACTTCTGTCTCCTTGCTATGCTCAAAAATTTTGTGTGTCGCTATTGTATGGAACCGAGACAGCATGTGTTGAATGTCTTTAGTTCCAATGATTGTATTTAATCTTTCTGATTTCGTAGCATCGCGTGCTATTAACAATCAGCCGGCAGCTCACGATGACGGCGACTATGAAGTAATCACCGCTTATGTTATGGAAGACAATAATTCTGTCGTACAAGATCACGAGCTCAATTCAGGCCCACCCTCAATTAAGGTAGGTACTTTCGTCAAGTTCTTCATGTATGCAATACATAGATAACGATAACTCTCTAGAACTCAGTAACTATCATTAATTTAAAGTATTCAATAATGGCTATTGCCAGATGTTCAAATTATTGTGTTTCTGTACTAAACTTTAGACCACACTGTGTGAAAAATTGGAATGCACTTGTAAGATGTGAAACTAGTTCGAACTGTGTGTTAGTAGGTAAATGTCGCATGATCCACATGTACAAATGATCGGTAAACTTTATTATCTTCTGGATTGGTTTTAAACTAATTTTTGGTACAGAATTTCTCGCATGTTATCACCATTGATATTGTGTATTTGGTAGTAATACAAGAGCAACCCATTAGTGTGTCACGGTCAAGCTCTCTCAAAACGATGGTTATTGTCTTGATTATTTTATTGAGTTGTTTTTACGGGCTAATTTTGGGAAAATCTTATGAAACAATAATTACTCTAGTTTTATTTTCGTCAACGCATGATCAGTAAGCCATAGCGGTACCCCTTACACAGCTCGCCCTTGGTGGGTTGCCAATAACTTTCAGTTTTTATAATAATTGAACAAACCTACATTTTTTTATTCCCTGGTTTATTTTTTCTTCATTTTGCCATTATATTGAGATATGTTAGCACATTGGTAGTTGAGGCAGGGATTGTACAGGACAACTACCATTAGTATGTTTCTAGTAAATAATGAAATATGGTTTCAAAATATTTTACTCTTTTATCCAATTTTCTCTTATGGGATTGGGACTTTTTCTCATGTGACATCATACTTTCAATAACCAGTTAACAGTTTAACCCAGAAGTTTGAATAAAATTCCCTTAAGCTCCAATAGTCTGAACACTTAATTTAAAATAGAATCATCATGTGCGTTCATAACGCAGGGAATATATTTTTTGCCTTAATTCAGTGTGTTATAATTTGAATCGTGCATTAAAGCTTTTCTTCAAATTTATCAGAGACATAAACCACGAAACAACCAGTTTGGTTTTGGATAGCCAAAACGATCTGACTTCCTTTTGGGTTTTGTATTACTACCCTATTTGAATGAGCCAAATCTGTACAATACCTCTACTAACTCTGCTTGTACTACTGCGCGCCTCTAATAGGTTAGCGCTAGACAGCGGCCAACAATTGGACGTGGGTATTCTGTAGATTATTCTGTGGATGGGATGAAGCATGCTCGAACTCGTGATGGTGTTCGTAATAATAATAAAAAGGTAATGGCCTCTAACTGCCTGCTGCTTACAAGTAGTACACTAATGCAAAGACAAGGCCTAGAATCTCACTAACTAGTTGTGTATGTGTGTTTCAGAGTGTTGACTCAATAGAAGATGTTCGTTCCGTTAATTCTTCAGAGACTAATAATTTAGAGGTAAATAGCGCAGTAATTGACAATAAGCAATTGAACAATGAAGATAACTGGACCGACATCAATCTGAACGAAGACACCGATACGATAACTGCGAAAGAGGATTCGAGAAACCTTCAGAATATATCCCATTCGCATGTCGATACCGAAGGAAACTTGACTTCGGAAAGAGGCGAAAAGTTACATCCCGACATTGCGGTTGTTCGTGTCCCGGACAGCTTGATACAAACCCCTACGCAAGTACATGCAGACGACTTGCCGATAAACAACTTGGTCGAACATATATCTGTGCCTACGCCCTCGCGCGAAGCGTCTCTCACTCAGAAGCTAGAGATGGCGTTGGGGTCCGTGTGTCCTTTACTGAGAGAGATCATGGTCGACTTTGCTCCCTTCCTATCGAAAACCTTGGTTGGTTCGCACGGTCAGGAGTTACTTATGGAGGGAAAGGGTTTGACGACATTCAAGAACAGCAACTCGGTCGTGGAACTGGTGATGCTGTTGTGTTCGCAAGAGTGGCAAAATTCGTTACAGAAGCATGCGGGCTTGGCATTCATCGAGCTTATTAATGAGGGAAGACTGTTGTCGCACGCTATGAAGGATCACATTGTGAGAGTTGCGAACGAAGCCGAGTTTATCTTGAATAGAATGAGGGCTGATGATGTACTTAAGCATGCCGATTTTGAGGTAAGTGTTCATTGGTAGTTTAACCAATCTTACTCTTGTTTTTAGTCACAATGCGCTCAGACGCTTATGGATAGGAAGGAGGAGGAGCGAATGTGCGATCATTTAATAACAGCGGCAAGGAGAAGAGATACGGTTATTGCCAGTCGACTGTTGGAAAAAATTCGGAATATTATGTCTAACAAACACGGAGCATGGGGTTATATGGATCCTATAGGCGCTAAGTAGGTGTGCTTGTGACAGTTCAGCTTTGTTGCAATGTGTGTTTCAGACTGAACGAATTTTGGAAGCTTGACGCGTGGGAAGATGACGCGCGGAGAAGAAAACGATTCGTTCACAATCCACTGGGCTCCACTCATCCTGAAGCTACTCTAAAAGCTGCCATTGAGCATGGAGCACCTGAAGATGCAATTTTGCAGGTCAGTAAACACTAAACTTAGTACGCAATGGTAAACATTTTTGTGAACAGGCCCGTGAAGAGTTTCACGCACAGTTGGCGGTGTCAAGAGCTCAACAACAAATGCAGACTAGTGACCTGATGGATGACAGTGAACTTTTAACTGATGATCGTGATTTGGATAATGATCTTACTGGTAAGAGAACTTTCTTGACGTCTTTGAGGTGTGATTAGAAAAAACAGTAGGGATTTGAATCATTCCGAAGGTCTAAAAAGATCATGTGATTCGAATTGCTATTGAGGATTCGGATACGAATCAATGATTTGATCATTCTTACAGGTCCTGTAAATATTAGCACTAAGGCGAAGTTAATCGCACCTGGAATTGTGGCACTCGGTATGGTTTCTGTGACATCGACCGAACTGTATTTCGAAGTGGAGGAAGAAGACGAGGAATTTAAGAAAATGGATACAGAGGTAAGTTCTGACATTAAACAATTTATATTGATGGGAGTGGTAGACAAAAACGTTATCTAAATGTTATAAATTTACTAAAATAATATACTTAAGTATTTGTGAATGCTTCACATTCAGATACGGAATGAGTGTAAAGATCTAGATCTGATAAACACAAACTGTGGATCAAAAACGATATCAAAGAGCTTGTCATGTACATAGTCATTTTCTTATTCAGTCATTTTTGTTTATTAATTAGATACTAGATGCTTTTTCTCGTTCCCGTTGGAATTTCGGGAAGTGTTTCACTATATTAGAAATCTACGCGGGCGTACGTCCAATCATTTCTTCCACAAACCAAAATATTGTACAATAATATTGACCGTCTGGGGGCTGCCGTAAAATATTGTGCAGCCCACATTTCACAATAACATTGAACGTTTAGGGGCCGCTTTAGTTATATTACGATTTAAAATGACGAAAAAGAGAAAAATTGTTTTTTACGTTCCAACAATTTTTTGGAAATTATCTTGTATACAAACCTTGTCTTGATAATAACAATCACAACCAAAAAAGAATTGTCTAATTTAGTGCAGTTGTTCTGAAGTTTCATCTCTCATCCCAACCATTCTCACTACCCATTCCAAATGAACATTAAATTAAATTGTGTGTTAATTTCATCCTGGATAACGCAAAATGTAAAAGTTTTAGGCTGATCATTGCATACGTAAAATGCGCTTACAAAAATATAGTCTCATTCATAGATTTGATATATTTTCAATTACAAAATTCTCTTACGCAGCCGATCTCGTTTAAACTTTAAAGGGTTGCCACCATACATTTCCACCCCATGCAATTTTAGTTACCTATAACATTATGATTGCTATATCGTGGTAAGAATACGGAAAGACATTTTATCAGGTGGATATTGTTCATGTGTACATTTATGTAGGTAGTTAAGTGAGCAAAAGATGTATGTATGACAGGGTTTATATGCTAAAAGACATATAAGAGAAATGAGGAATCTTTGTTGAATTTGTGAATCGCGTAAACTTGCTGAAAATATAGGTTAAACCTTATTTAAACCCTTTCCGAACACGCGAAAAGCAAGTGAAGCTCTTTTTAGAGCAACAAAAACGTATGAGGAAATGAAACAATTGTATCAAAAATGTATAGTTCTGATCATGTTTAACGCTATCCACCACAGTAATAAAAGTTTGACGTTTTGAATTTTTAACCACATGAGTGATTGGGTACCGACTCATGAAGCTGCTTCTGTACTGTAAAGATAAGTAAACTTCTAAATTCCCAATTTCATTTTCGAAAGGTAGCAAGAGAAATCGAATTGATAAATACTCGTGTACCTGTGTAGGGAAAGTTCATTGGGTTTTTTTAATGTAAAATTTAGAGGACTTGGTGATGATCAATCTTATAGCAGAGTAGAATTTTGCAATATTTTAACCAACTTTATTAGTCCAGTCAAAACGATAGTATGAGGTGGAACGTTCTGGTGTAATTGGTTTTAATGGTATAAACTATGGTTTTCTGAACACGAATCTAAAGTTGTCCAACAAAAATTTTCACCCACAACTATGAGAAAAGTAGAGTTTTTTCAGCGATTTCCAACTTATAACTTGCAAAGCAAGCTGTTTGCGCTAAAAGTGGTTCTGTTGTAAAATAGAGGAGAAATATAATTACCTAAAAGTACGTTTTTCAACATTTTTGTGTGCGTAGTATGGTTTCCATGCAAAACAGTGTTGAAATATGGCTAATTATTATATTCATCATGCATCTAAACTTCACTATGGGTTAAACAGAAAGACAGGTCTAAAGTTTGTTTTACAAGAAGCAATAAAATTGAATGTCCAAAAGCCTGGGATAAAGGCTTTAAATGTCACAATTATGTGCTTCAGACAGAATTAAAACACCCCCGAAAATCCAGTAAATCAAATGCATTTTGTTTTTCTATAGAAGACAACATAGATGAAATATCACTAGATCAAGTTGTTGCGCAATTAAAAGAACCAATTTCAAAAGGATCAAGCAAAAGATGATAAGGTGATAAATATTTACATTGAAAAATAGGTATTAAGTATATTATAAACCTCCTTCACATAGGGATGCTTGGGACACTTCTTCTGTGGTTTTCAATAAAACAAACACTTCGAAAGGAACCACATATTAAATAAAGAGCGTAAAGCAAATCCAAAAAAGCGGCAGAGGCCTGAAACTGTGCAAAGTTTGAAACGAATCGGTCCACGCGTTTACCAGTCATCATGTTCACAGACAGACAGGCAGCAGGCAGATAGGACAGACTTTAGACACCCCTATAAAGCTTGAAACGCTTTGCTCTGGCGCGTAATAATTCAGTTAAAGGGAAAATTGTACTTTTTGTTACTGATTCTCGTATTTGCGCGTAAACTTTTTGCTGGACAAGTCCAGAGTCGTGTTCACCACACCAAAAAACATACAATAAAACACTAAAAACACCAGAAGTTTTCTACCTCTCGTGTACGAATTGACTAAACTATTAACTAATTCCGAATTTAGCATCTAATCGAATGACCCGAAGTCTCTAGTTGGCCCAGGGGCCGAGATCTCAATGCAACAGACAGACGACGGAAAATTGGGAACATAAGCTTTACCTCAACTTTGTTGTGTTACGCTAAAAATATTGTATATACCACGGGACTGAGGTGTCAGTCAGTCGCTTGATGCAACTGTTATTTGTAGGTATGTTCAGATGTACTACTCATACAGAAATATATTTAGGTACCTATTTGGAGCAATTTCTCTGTAACATCACACCAAGCATTTTGCGCCCTTTTGTGGGTGCAATTAAAATTAATTTTCTTGTAAGAGGTGACAATGATTGATGAGAAGTCTTATACAATGCGTGGATTTCGTAGCAAATGACACATTGATCAACCGAATAATGATCACAAACTACTATCGCATACAATCAAGTTACCTTTCCGTTCTCTAACTAATTGATTAGTCTTAGTGGTGGTAAAACAAACAGTGCGGGCGCCCCCCGGGGCAGGTGCTTCTTTAGGGACGGCCAATTATCCGGCTACCCGTGGAGTAGACTCCGGCCCGGCGAGGAATGTAACATACCAAACCTTGCCTTGTGCGCATATCACGATTATTTTTGATGAAATGATTTAGAAAGGATTAAGGCCGAAAAAACCCAACAGTGCGAGAGAGGTACCTACGAATATAGTTAGTGAAATATTATTCTTGGGACCCACGTAATCTATGTCAAAACCTTTCTAATTATGCAAAACAGCCCCAGTTTTTTCTACGACGATAACATCGGACACCGAGGTGTGTATCCGCGAACGCCCTCGTCCCCATAGAGAGATTTAAATAAATTTTACGAAATAAATCAAAGCTTGGCCTCCTGTTGACCTCAAATTATTAAGGTCCCATGGACCGATTGTTGCCTCTATTAACTAAATAACCTTTATTAGGATTACAGGTAATTTAACTCCTCACTGTTTATTTAACTGTCGAGCCAATCCGCCTTAATGGGATGATTTATCTATTCATTGATGAATATGTAATACACACAACAATAAACAAGCTTTGATTAATGATGCATTTATGAAATGGAGAAGAGATTTTAACAATTTATACATTATACATATACTGCATATGTAATAAGAGAATCGTTAATTTTATTTGATTTTTACGTGCCAACTACATACATTAAATTTACATGAGAAAATATGTAATTCCGTTCACGTTTTAACGGCAAAGAAAAACGTGATGTGGTTTCCTTTTTATAAAAATAAACAATTTAAACTAATACCAACGAATACTAATTTACATTAAGTAAAAGACAATCACTTATTTTATGTAGTAGGTAGGTACCTATTATGAGGCGTCGTATGCTTTATATTTCCATTCCAAGCATCGCCTTGTTGAGAGCATTTTTAATTGTACAGAAATAAAACCAACATTTTAAAACTAAACTTAAGCGTATTTTTGAACTATGCAATTAAGGGTCGATTCTATCTTTTGGTCAAAATACACATGTACAGTATGTACAGTTCTTAGTTTTCCCAACAGAACAATACAAATCTTACTTTCCCCCCGCCTCTCTTAAATACCATAATTTTTAATTTATTAAGATTTACTGTCAAATTCCACATATTACAATATTCCAATAATTTCCTTATAATTTCTACCGCAAGGTTAGTAAGGGAGGTATTGGCTTTGGGGTAAAAAAAGACCTCCCCCAATTTTTTTATGGAACTAAGTATACGATCTGAAGCACCAGGAATCCGAATCTAACAAAATCTCATATTAATCTTTTATATGACCCGTAAAAAAAGTACATACGAGTATACGAATACAACGATATACGGATGACAAAAAAACAAAAGTTGGTTTCAACAAGATGGTGCACCACGCACAACGTCCTAATCGTTCGAGAATACCTGTCAGAGAATTTTCCTGTAGATTGAAAAATCTGCCCGATAGGTATTCTCGCACGATTAGAGCGTTGTGCATGAGTGCACCATCCTGTTGAAAACAAAAATGTTGAAACTTTTGTTTTTTTGTGTGCTGTAGGTATATAATTGTATTTAAATAAAAATAAAAACCAAATCGGCAAATTTCGGAAGTAATTGGAATTTTCTGGTTGCATGATAATAACTCTTTAATTGCGCACCTTGCTCTAATATCACCATCGTCGTATCTTCTATGGTTTCGGAGATCTCCACATTCTTATCTTGGATACAGTGTAGATAATATAATCTAGAAGCACTCTCAAGTGCCATTCAAGAAGTTTTTATCGAGAACCTCTCATGTTCTCCTCTCAAGTTGTTTTGAAACTCTTCTGAAGCTCAATTTCATTTAAAGTTCTTCTAAAGTACTTTCTAAATTCGCCAATTCACTTACCTATCCATGTTCCCCCCAAGTTTTCTTCTCAATTTCCTCTCAATGCCCGTCATCCGTTAGTTCCTCCACCCGAGCCCTTCGAGTTCGTATCAAGTTCCTCCCAAGTTTCCCTGAAGCTCTCAGGAGGCAGGAAACTAAAATTTCCTGACATAAAGTAGGCACGAAATTGAAGG